GACTAGGCTTTGACTTCTGCTGTAGTAGATTGTGATCACCCGTACAATCTGTACTAGGACTGTCGAAGTCAGTCCTTCCACCTAGATCTGTTCCACACAGATCTCTCTTAGCAGCCGAATGGCTACTACCTGCTGCAAGGTGTCTAGTAGGGCATCGATTTCTGGAACAAACTTCCCTTGGGCCCTACAACCAAGGGAAACCCTAGATACAGACCTTGCTGTGCTCTACGGTCAGCCCTAGGGTTTCTTAACAGCGGCCAAGATAGGAGAGAGATAGGGAAAAAAAGGAATAGAGAAGAGCAGAAAAAGTGGTGGCTGTAACCAGACAGACGGATTAGTGCTCTGATACCATGTTTGCTGGAATACAGCAGCCGAAGAAGAAGAAGAAGAAGAAGAAGAAGAAGAAGAAGAAGAGAAGAAGATTTGAAAAAGGCAGCTATATCTCTTCAGCCRGCCCTACACTCTTATATAGATGATTATAAAATAATGTTACATTAATGGACTAGAATGCCCCTGATTAGTGATGGGACACCTAGACAAATAAAACATTAAACAAGTTTAGGCCCAATAACTAAGAACTTAAGACACAAATATGACTAACATAAACATTAAAAACAGCCGAACCAACATTTTCAAAAATATATCCAGCTATTTTTTATAATAATTACCGTTGCTTGGTGCAGTTGGTAAAATCATGGGTTGACAAGCATGAAAATTCTGTTTGGAGTCTATAAGTGGTTACATTATACTAAAATGCTGGAGGGTAGATCTCTATCCTGTGTCCACCCCTCCCAAGACCCTAGATAGCTGGGATTAACACTGAATAATGGCCTTTTTATAGTCTCTCTATGTGAGACACAGAGAAACATGTACAGACTTGCAGTGGTGGATAGGAAGGGGAGTTGGGGTAAAGGAGTTCCAAAACTCTTCCCAAATGAATGGTAAGAAGGATCAAAAGAACCAATTCCTAGTCATCTCATATAATAGAAGAGTAACACAAAGTTATCTCAGGCATTTCCAATCCCCAACACAAATCTTCCTTTTCAATCCTCTAGGTAGACTATTAACAAAAGTGTACCTCTGAACTGATCTAAATGATCTGTTCATCCTGGCTGCTAGTGATTTTTCTCTCCCTCATTTAGTCTCTTAGTGTCCATGATCCACAAGAATGATCTCTTACCCACTCAACCTCTAAGTCCCCTTCCACTTATCTCTCATTCTAGTCTGTTTGGTTTCTTCTATAGAGAGAAAGAGTAGAGAAGAAAATGGTAACACGCAAATGGAGGGAGAGGGTACTCTTATCTGTCAACTAGCCCAAAGAACTATGCATTCTAAATCTAATATTAACTGAAGTAAACTAATAATGGTATCATTCTTAGTACGGTACGTGAAAGAATTATACTAAATACATTAGTATGCTACTAATGTACAATAATATTGTACACTATATAGCAGAATCATCTTTTCTTTGTACAACTCTAGGCCCCAAGAATCATGTTTTCAGTGGGGCCAAGAACTCCATCTTTTTCACTGTTCTGTAACCAACCTGGCTTGAAAATGTGGCAACGAGATCTCTCCTTTGTCCTTTGAAATTAATTCCCACTCCTAATTCACCCGGTTTTCCTGTAGAGTAGCTATTACATTTGACTCTATAGAGCCTTGTGGAGGAGGGACCCCTTCATGCAAAATCAGCCTTGGTGTTACCATGTATTAATTTTTGTGTTTCTTCTTTTATCTTTGCCTGAGGGTGGGCCTTGGCACAATGGTTGGGTTGCTCTATTACAAGCTGGGTGACCTGGGTTCAAATCTTAGAAATAGTTTGTGTATGTGCAGGGGTAAGGCTGTATACATCTGTCCCTCCCCGGACCCCACATTGGCAGGAGCCTCGTACACTGGGCCGCCCTTTTTCTTTTATCCTTGTCTACTGTAGCTTATGATAATGCACATTGTAGTTTTTAATTTCCCAGAGCCAGCAGCAATGATCCATTCACTAAGCATCTTTTGCAACTGCAGATTGAAGCTTTGGTTGTTTCTTGCATATGTTGTATCATTTGTGTCTCTAGCAGCATCAGTAGGTCTACTGGTACAAGATGCACTTGTAAAAAGTGGACCTTCAGCATGGACAGGCACTGCTGGTGTCTTGCAGTGTGTGCTGGTATTGATCAGGTATAATTTTTATTCATGATCCTACTTATTTTCATGTTTCAACAGATAAGTATTATTTTATTGTGTGCATAAAAGTTTTGTAAATGGGTTAGCCAGGGTTTTGTCTTGACAGATACCTAAATTTAGCCATCTGAGAATATTTAACTAATCCAGATTGTCCATCAGATGAGGGATATTTGAAGTGCTTAGTGTTTACTTCTTCAGGTATTGACAAGTCCATACAATACCATCATTATACCTCTTCCCAAGAGATGTTGACTATTGGAATCTTTTCTCTTTCTTTTTTTTTTCATTTTTTTTTTAAATCTAAAACATGACCCCCTAGATGACGGGACCAACATTGGGTAATGGCCTTTTATGTTGAATTAGCCACTGGTTGAAAATTGCCTATGAGTAGAGAATGGAGAGAACATGTGAAACTTTCTTGATTACAGGTATGCCTCCATGAATAAGACTCCAGGGAACATGTGTGGTGAGGCATTCTAATACGCAGAGTTGTGAAGTCTAGTTCAGAATGCAAGAGGTGTGTGATGCAAGGCAGATTTTTAAAATTTTATTACAATATTTACAATAAACCAATGTTTATAATATTTTTTGGTTTTCACTTTTCATCTTTTGTATTATGTTAATAATGGGGAACATGATAAAATGGTTCCCCTACTTATATCTTTAATATTTTTATTATCAAAACTGGCATAAATGTGCATGCATATGATGTGTATGCCTCATTGGCTCTTGTATAGAGCACAATAAAAACACACACCTCTATGCTGGAAGTTTGCACCTCAAGTGTCAGTACTCCATTCTGTGCCTCCAGGTGTTTTCGTAGTGCCTTGCCTAGAGGTGTGCCTCCAGGCATATATGCCTCCAGAGATATGTACTTTAAGACTTACTTGGCAAACCCATGGTTTAATATTTGTGTATGCATTGGTGCATACCAATGTTTTAAAACTGAAACGCAACTAAGCATAAGGGTTTCCTGCAGCCCATGTCACAAGGTTTTAAGGTAATGCACATGCCTGAAGAAAGTGAGGCACCAACTATGAGAAAGAATTGGAAAAAAAATAAAAAACTTAAATATACCAATATGCAAATATAAATTCTGAAAGAAATAAAACCTTCTAGTTCAATTGGTAAAAAGTGTTGTGTTATTAACATGAGAGTTGTAGCCTTGTAGCCTCAAGTCCTTACAAAGGTTAAACTGTTTAAGCTCTATAAGACATAGATACAATTTAATATATGGTTTTATTCATTCAAACGCTATTTTTTTGAAGGTAACCGTATTGATATTAGTTGTAGGCAAAAAAAAGATTTGAATTTAGGGTTAATTCATCAAAACGGAGTAAGACACTCTACAAAATGACAAAACTGAGCCTGGCCTATGAGTGCTTTCTGAAAAGTTAGAGTATATGTCTTTATCAGTCTAGACTCAAATTATTAGGTTATTCATAATGCTACCATGTGAGGGATTTATTTTGTACTCTTATCTACTGCCTTTTTTTTTTTTCAAACAAGCAAATGGAACAATGATAAGATGGTTGATGTTGATTGGTTTTTTTAATATTGCTCTTTTGATTGGATACTCGGAATCACTCCAGCATCTTGTTTCTTGATCTAGTGCTCAACATACAATGACCTGTTTCATTCATTGATGATTAGAGATGTAAAAAATAGGTCAAGCTTCCTCCAGAAGTCAAAGAAAAGGCCAAATACATTATCTCAACTAAAAGAGGTAAGCTTTGGTAAAATAAGAAGCAAAATGACTTGTGACCAGAGTAAGATACAGGCAAAAACCATTATGGGAACATTGGCCCCCATTACAACTCTCACCTCCTTTTAGCCCTGCAAGCCAAATGGTCAGCGCATTTCTGGATCTACTTGAATGTAATGTTTACTACTTTAGTGTGATGTTCACCCTGGATGCCAGAGCTCTAGCCTCCATGATAGTTGCAAAGAATCCAAAGGGTCATCACTGACACCCTTCTAACAAACGACGGCAATATGAATCACCCTCCACCCTTACATGCATAAAAGTAGGAGTTCATAAATCTCCTAAAATAAAGCTTTATATTGCTGATTGAGTTTTGAAAGCTTATAGGGGTTGAACAAACCTTCTAAGTCTGATCTATGAAAAACCACTCCCTCCAGAAGGCCCTCAATTACCACAGAGCACTTGTCAATGCTGTGCTTGACATCAATTTTGTGATGGCCAGAGGGGGGGGGATATATTATATCCTCATTGTCATTCAATAGACCATGCATATATGTACCATTTCCTTCTTAATATATACATGCCTACTTACATTTGTGTGTATGTATATGCCTAGCCATGTTCATGTTTCTAAATTTTGGGGGTGGTTGGTTGTGTCTGGAAACACCATAATTTTTTTAGAAAAGTTTACTGATTTCATTGAAAAAAGAGAGGGGTACACAAGGAGGTGTATAAATACAAAACAGGAGTCAGACCCCTAAAGATTACACAGAAGGAACTTTGTCACAATACAAGGTCTCTAAAATAGAACCTAGTTTTGCTAATCCATTTGCTATGGCATTTAAATCCCTTGGAATCCAGAACAGAGATGCATTTGTAGAAGCCAGTAAGTCCCTTGCCTCTGCTAGCTCAGACGTGTTCAGAGGAATCAATGTAAATGATCTTAACAGGAATGCTGTTAACTTCCTGTTCTCTTCCCCATCCTCCCCACCCATCTCCAGGGATCCATCTCTCAGAAGGGAAGGAGCATGGACTCTAAGCTTTGATGGAAGTGCCTCAGGTAACCCTGGTGTTGCTGGCATTGGAGGAGCTTTAAGAGACGAGAATAGGAACATTTGCTGGGTGTACAGTGGACCGATTGGTATAGCTGATTCTACAAAGGCAGAAGTGATGGCTGCTCTTATAGGGATCCACTTAATCAACAGACTGGGTATTCAGAACCTCTCCATTGAAGGTGACTCAGCAAATACCATAAAATGGTTAGGAAAGCAGGAGGCTGGAAACACCATAATTTTGGGGGCCATCACTTGGTCAAATGGTAAAATCTCGGGCTGGAAAGTGTGAGAATGTCAGTTCGAGTCTGAGTGGCTGCTTTGTGCAAAAAATGCCAAGATTGGACCATATCCTGTCTGTCCSTCCCAAGACCCCAGATAGCTGGGACTAACATTTGGAAATGATGCTTTTGTGTGTGTGTGTGTGCGCCAACATATGACACTTGTGTCCATGTCCATAGATCATAGAAAGAAAGAAAAAAATGACAAGGTGAAGTGATAGAACATGTGAGAAGGCTCTTTCTCTGACAAGGGTGAAGCGATAGAACATGTGAGAAGGCTCTTTCTCTGACAAGGGAAAAAACTATAATTAAGAGAAATTGATTTTCTTTTTATTAAACCCTATACTATTATTGATCCTATATTACTATGCTCTGGCATTTGTCAACCTTATTCCAAAATCATAAATCTTGAGATTATTCTTTATTCTTTGGCCAGCTTAGCCATCTCAAAACCTTGGCATAACTTTTTCAACTTGAGGTCTTTACATCAGTTGTCTATGAATGCTAATGTGATGCATGTAATTAACCACATGTTGGTCAAAGATGTCTGGTATGTCCACCTGACCATGAGATGAAGCCTTAATAATTTTTTTATGATATTTTTCTTTATAATTAAAAATCACTCAAGTTTTTTTTTTTTTTTGTTTTGTTTTTTGTTCATTGTATACAACTTTCTTGATTTCTTCAGGCTGTGTTTGGAAAGAGTGCAAATAGAGTGTAAATGCAAATATGCAGAGTGCATTCTGGTCCATACAAATGCAAAGTTGATTTAGTTTTGCATTGACAAATTTACTTCCTTGCCAAACGATTTTTGGTTGTAATGGATGCAAATACAAATCCTGAGATTGAAATATACTCTTTTAACATTTGATCACTTTGACTGCAAATGTTTACATCCTTTTTTGCGATGTAAAATTTCCTCTCATTTTGGGTGCAAACATGCCTTGGAAACTGTCTTTTCTGTCGTTGTCAATACACAAATGAATTTTTGCCAAACACTAACAAAACTGAACCAGAGTACATATTTGCACTGAACCGGCATTTACACTCTTCCCAAATGCAGTCTCAGGAGAAAATGTATTGAAATCTTTTGGTATGATCTCTAAGCTTTTTCTGTTATTTTAGCGGGCAAGCACATCTAGTTATTACTTTGTGAGGTCAGTTTTGCTTTTCTGATATGCAACCAAGCAACACATAGATGGAGAGAGATGCTCACAGTATGCCCTGATCTTAGCAATAATCATGTCTGACAACTCCATAACCCATGAGTGAAGAATTAGACAATTGGTTACAGTTGATCCCAGGGATGAAACATTGGCAATATGGGTTCTAGAATGGTTTATTCTATTGCAGTTTTGGACTTATTAATCTGTACTAAAATCATTATTTCCATGGCTAATCATCCGGATCATTATTATGCACTGTGACCTTACTAACTGATATATTTATGCAGTGGGCTAATGTACTGGACGGCTCATTCAGATCAGAGTTGGTGAACCAGAAAACCTACCTCCTAACAGAAACATGTACATCCTAGATGTCTAGTTGATGACAAAGAGAAATAGTTCGATCTTTAATTCTTTATGGTGTTTGAGGTTGCTAGTTTCTTGTAAATGTGCATGTGTTTCTGTGTCRATGCTACTTCTCTTGAAATCTGCATATTCAAATGGACTCTGTTGAATACAACTCTTACTGAAGTGATGGATCTTGTTGAGTCACTTGTAAAACTGGAATTCAACCAGGTGCTTTGTAGTAGAATCCTGACATTGGTTGGTGAATTAGAGATTAAGCTGAGGTTCTACCCGCCCAATCATGCAACTTTACGGCTCAGTTCCGAAGGAGTACAGAAAAAATATGTAGAGCGCAAAACCTTGTATTTTGTATGTATTTGTACTGTACATGTTTGAATTTGTACTCTTTTCAAACTGAGCCTCATAGACTCTGTATTTGCAATCTGAACTAAATACAAATTTTGCACCTGATTTAGCTTTTCATTTGTCTGTAACCATGATTTGCACTCCTACCTTATACTTTACTACTTTGTCTCGTCTGCACTCACTAGCAGTGCAGCTTTTGCATCTTAAGAACTGATGCAAACAAGTCGTGCCATGTCTGAATTTCTATATATAAAATAAAACAAGCATGACTCTCATTTCTCCCTTACTATTTATCTAATTTGTATGTTTTTGTTTTTAAAATTGCACAAAATTATTCAAGTAGCTAATCAACTTGAACTCTTTAAGACATTCATTTCCCCATTAACTCACCATTAAGTTTCTCTTCTCTTCCTCATTAACTCTTTTGATTATCTTCCAATAACTCATTCCACTATACTCTCTCCTCTCAATTAACTATTTTCTTGTGACTTAGGTCTAATTCAGATATGCATCAACAAAAAAAAAAAAAAATCCCACACATAATGCAGGTAGTAGGATTATAAACAAATAGGATTTAGAATGGATCCAATTGCATCTGCATCTAATTATTATGTTGGATTTTGGATTTAATTCACAATCACCTTAGTTTGTTTGAAATGACTGAAAAATAAAAAGATTTAAAAAACTAATTATTTTTAAAGTATATATGTATAATAAATGTATATAAAAATAAAATATTAAATTTATCAATTATAAACGTTATATAATTATGCATCTATACTACTATAATAAGTAGGAATAGCTGCTCCCCATGGTTTTTGGAAATTTTCTTGACCAAAATGCTTTTATTTCTTTGAATTTAGTCATATTCTACCTTTAAGGGTAGAAACTGTAATTTCAATACAGCTACTAAGTTCATTTTATTTCCTCTCATTAGACCTATATTTATGATATTAATTTTCATTCTCTCTCATTCAATCCTATATTTAAGTTACCTTTGTTTTTTGTCATTACATTTCATTGATTAAATTCATAAACAATGATCTCAATGGTATAAAAACTATATTTTTAAAACAAACCGACAAATAAAACCATTTTTTTAAGTGTTGGCTAAATAGTTCAACAATTTTAGTCAAATAAGTTAACTCATGTCATACTTAAATATTGATGTTTTTAAAATATATATAAATACAGAAATAAAAAATTTGTAAAAAATTTTGGCAAAACTAATAATAAGTTTTTTATTAATGATAGAAGAATACAAAATTTAAAATTAACACAAAAATGAAACCATTTTCATATTGTGTGGCAGGTTAGTGGTTCAACTATTTGGTTTAAATGGATCAACCCATGATGTCATAGTTAAATAATAAACTTTTAAAATAGAAAATACAAAGAATTGTGAAAACATAAAAAATAAAAAATTTAGGCTCTAATATCATATATTAGTCATATTAAACAAAAACAAATGTGATAAATAGTAAGTATTCTTATTAATTATGTAAATGAAATACAGAGTTTAAAACCGATCTAAAAATGAAACCATTTTCCTGCCTAGATGGCAAGTCAATGGTTCAACCTTTTGGACCAAATAGGTTAGCTCATAATGTCATAATTAAATAAAATTTTTTGCAAAGATAGAAACAAAATAAAAATACAAAAAAAAAATAAAATAAAGAAATTTTATAGAAAGCATTTGAATAYGTATCTAATATTATATATTCTTCATATTAAACAAAAATAAGTGTAAAAAATAAGATTTATTTTATACTAATAATTAGGGGTGTCAATTGACCGAGTTTGGGTTGGACCCTATTTGAATCAAAATCAATTTGAATGGATTGGATGAACCAATAAGACATTGAATTGGACAAGTCTAGACTAAATGGTCCAAAGTATTTATTGGATTGGATTGGACCTTGTCCATCTATAATAGATTTATAATGAATTAGGTCGGGTTGAACCAATATGTGGTTTATTGACAGAAGATAAAAGTACGGGTGTCAATTGACTAAGTTTGGGTTGGACCCAATCTAAATTAAAACCAATTTAAACATATAGAAATTATGTAGAAAATTATGAACTTATATCTAATATTATATATTTATCATATTAAAAATATAAATGTGATAAAAAAAATATTTTTTATTAATGATAGAGATAGAATACAAAAGTCAAGAAAAAAGAGAATTAATATCTAACTTGTGACCCCATTAATTAGGTCAAATAGTTTAATAGTTCAAAGAGTTAAGCTGTTCTCAATGGTTTTTACAAGCAAGTAATTTGATAATAAATGGACCCAAAATACAGGTACGATGATGGGTCAATTGATTAACCGATTGGTTTGACCATAATATTAAAAGCATTGGTAAAAAATCAATGTTCTAAAAATTGAACAAATGTACATTTCTCCTTTTATAGGTTAAACCATATTTCTCCTTTAGTTATGATGTCATAAATTAAATATTAAAAATAAAAATATAGAAAACATTACAAAATTTATAAAAAATAAGCATGTCTTTAATATTATATATTCATCATTTTTATTAAACAAAAAAACATTTGAGAAAATGAGAATTGTTGTAATTAATGGTTTTTGAACCGCCGTTGACCTGGACGATTGGATTGTTTGGCCTGGGAACCGTCCAGATAATCAGTTCCGTTTTACCCCAAGCCCAATCCTTGGCTAAAAACCATTGAATCGGCCAGCGACCCATTGACCCGGGCGATCAAACCATCAACCTGTTTGACACATTCAATGGTTTTTGGTTGTTCATTCGAACCAGATGGTTGAACCGTTGACTCAGAAACTAGTGGCTAGAACGGTTCCAGTTCCTGGTCGTTTTTTAAAACATTGGTTAAAATACAAAAGGGAAGAAAAGAAAACAAATGTATCATCCGTAACCCATTGACCTAGACAATTAGGTCATCAGTTTCACCAATACACACCATGCTTTGATTACTCATCTTTATTGCATGGGTTTTGATAAGACRACTAAAATTATTATTATTACTATTTTTGTTATTATGCTATTATTATTTTTGTCATTTGAAACTACGAGCAACACGTGAACATTTACTAGTAATATCTATATGTATCAATAATTGTGTTACATAAATACATAAAATAATAATTTTTATTGGACACAAGTTTTAGTTGGATTGGATGGGTTTAAATCTACATCTGATCTAATTATTAATCGAATGCAAATTCTAACATCCAAATTCAAGATAATCCGATTCAAAGTTGAATAAGGTATTGGACTTTGGGAGTCCATTGACAACCTAGCGGGTAGGGTCCAAGATAAGCAACCCCTAAGCTTGACGTGGAAGTTATATACATATATATTTAGATAACAAAGTTTATGTTAATATATAAATAGAAATTTTTATATTTTTTATAATAGACTAAAATTAAATAAAATTTTTAATTTATAAAACACCCATAGTTTTATAATTAACATGAGCAAGCCTCTCCTTGTCCCAGGCCCAGACAAATATTATTATGCTTAATGTGTGGGCCGATTGGGCTAGGCAACCTTAAAAACTATTAATACACTCAAAATTCATTAGGCTAAACAATGGGGATTGCTCATCCCTCATAGCTCCTTTGGGCTTCATTGTTAATAATTTTATCAATCAAAACACAACCTAAAGTTTTAAGCCTCAAGCTTGGGCTTATATTAATTTAATTATGACTACAACCTAATTTTATATATTTACTAATATTTAAGTAATACTTACAAAACATTATAACATTTAATCATTAATTAAATAAATAAAATAGAACACTAATAGATAATATGGAAAAAATAAATTTTTATTAAGTAATTACTAGTAATCTATTATTTTTATTAAAAAGTATTAATATAATCAATCCAAACTACTAAATTATTAGATTATTTTTGTAATAAATCACTAAAATAAAGATTAATTATTTTAAACAACATTGCATTCCTTACAATAGTTATCAATTTTTATCGTTTTATTTTCCCTTGACAAATCCCCATGCATGGCACAGGTCCCCACTAGAATAACAAACAACATCATCTTTTTCTACATCTCACTCCTAAACAAATAACACATCATACATTCTCTTTAGTAGAAGGTGGAGGTGGGAACACAGGTTTTACTTCTCATAAACAAATAAAACATAGTTCAAACCTGAAGTAAAACAAAACTAGATTTTAAACTCTTCTGTGCACGATTGAAAACAAAATTCACACTGCAAGAAAACTGAGCCAAAGTCAAATAGGAAGTAAAAATGTAAAATAATCACCACTTTATATGAAAGAAAATGGATATGAGAAGAAAATTATTTATTTGGGAATGAGATAAGAAGCAAGGTGATGTGCAAAATTAGTATTTGGTTTAATTTGATAAAAGAAAACAGTCACAATTCACTTGGTTTAGTCCCCTGGTTTTGCCTCTTTTGAGCATGGTTGTCAAAATGTCAACTAGATCAGTCCAAAGCTAATACCATATTTAATTGTGATGCATGTCCCTTAACATACATCTCCGTGGGGAGATTGGAATCTCTTTGAGTTATGAATTAGCACACTCAGCATGGAAGTAGGGTTGTCAATGGACCTGTTTTGAATTGGACCGTATAAAATAAAATTAATTTGGATGGATTGGATGGACCAATAAGATATATTAAATTGGACAGTCCAGACTTAACGGTCCAAAGTATTTATTGGATTGGATTGGACTTGGCTCATTTGTAATGAATTTATATTGGATTGGGTTGGATTGAGCCAATATTTGGTCCATTGATAGAAGATGAGAATATAGGTATCAATAGACCAGGCTTAGATTAGAATTTATCTAAATTAAAACAAATTTGAATAGATTGGACAATCCATACATTGAATTGGACTGATCCAAAATGGTGCAAAATATTCATTGGATTGAATTGGAGCTGATCCATTTGTAATGGGCTCACATTGGACTGGATCGAATTGAACCATATCCAGTCCAATTGACACCCCTACATGGAAGCAGCTTGCAGAGGAATCATTAACAGAAACACTGGATTGGTCAAACCAGTCAACCACAAACTCATGGAGAAACGACTTGATCAGGTTTATTAGGTCCAGAAATGTCGCCAAGTCT